CCGAGGCCCAAGGCGGCACAAGATGCCCCCCCCAGTCCAGCCCAATGCGGCCCAAGAGGCCCCCAGCAGGACCCGAGAAGACCCAAAAGGGCCCCAAGATACTCACCCACAGAGGCTGCCAGGACAGCCTGGGAGGCCCCCACGGGGGCCCTGGAAGGGGCAACTCGAAGGGGCACGCGAAGCCTCCCCCTCCCCCTCCCCCTCCTCCTCCTCCTCCTCCTCCTCCTCCTCCTCCTCCTCCTCCTCCTCCTCCTCCTCCTCCTCCTCCTCCTCCTCCTCCTCCTCCTCCTCCTCCTCCTCCCCCCCGCAAAGATGGCTCCCGAGATCCCCAGCGAGCCCCCAAGGGGCCACTGACATACAAGGCTCCAGGAGGTCCCCCCAAACTCCCAAACGGCACCCCCTGGTGCCTGCAAGAGGCCGCACCAAGCCCTTCACAGACCTCCCAAAGCCCTCGTCGTCGTCGTCGTCGTCGACGTCCTCCTCCTCCTCCTCCTCCTCCTCCTCCTCCTCCTCCTCCTCCTCCTCCTCCTCCTCCTCCTGATCGACTTCCGCAGCTATGCAATGTCAGTATGACTCGTTGACTCTCTCCCTCTCTCTCTCTCTCTCCCCCCCCCGATATCGCTTTTAGTCGCCACGCATGGTTGTCCCGAAACTGCGTTCGATTTGGATTTCCCGACGAAGCTCCCGCCGCAACGGCTGCCACATTTAAGGATCTCCAGCGAGCGTCCAAACCAACGGAACAAAGCTCGCGCCGTAACGCTGGCCGTCTGCTTGCATCAATGAAGGCGGTGCTTCCCGCTCGAAGGTTTGCCATGTCTTTGCGCTTTTCCGCCGATCTTCCGCCCAAGGGAACGACGCTACGTTCGCAACGGTGGCCCTAGCCCTGCATCAGCGACACTGGTGCTCTCGCTGCAGCGTGCACCACACCTGCTGATCTCCATGGAGCTCCCGCCCAGTGGAACTGCGCTCTCGCCGCATCGCGGACCGCAGTCCTGCATCCTCGAATGTGGTGCGCCCGCTGCAGCGCAGCCTGTGCCTAATTGTGACCTCCATCGGGCTTCCGTCCAACGGGCCTCCTTCATTCGGTGACGAGCGGGGAGGGGAAGCGAGAAGGAGAAGGCCTTCTCAGAAGGCGGCGGGCCTTCTCAGAAGCCCTCGCGCCTCCTGAGAAGTCGTCTGCGTCTTCTGGGAAGGCTTCGAAAACTTCTCGGGAGGCTGGGGGACTTCCGAGCCTTCTGAGAAGGCCCGCCCCTTCTCACTCCCCCCCTCGCTCGCCGCCGATCCATGCCCCCTCAGCTCTTGACTCGCAGGGAATGGGGCCCTCTTCGGGGATCAAGGGCATTCCAACACCCGACTCTGCGAACAGAGAGGCACAACATAATGGAAAGGGATGGGAGGAAGATGTGTCGCCAGCGCACATAGATGTCCTTCCGCTCCTCTCCCTCCTCGTCCTCCTCATCCTCCTCCCGCTCCACCATCCCTCTCATCCCCCTCATCCACGGCATCCCCTGCCCCCCTCAATGCCATCATCGCGCTGTCACTTCCACCGGCCCTGACGGGGACACTGGGCGCGTCACATTACTCACCAGTCCCCGTCATAACTTCGAGCCAGAATTAGATGCCGAAGCCACGCTGCCCAACTTGCTCCGAATTCACTTGCCACGCGGCGCCCCGAGGCGGCTGCTTTGGCCCACGACTCTAAGAGAACCGCAACCTCCCGCACGAGGCCGACACACCGCTCTGGCGGGGATTCCAAAAAGCAGCTCCAGATGACTCAAAATATCCGCCAACGCCCGAAGCGGCCGCGGACAATCGAAACGGCCTTGACAGGGTCGATGAAGGGCACGACAGACATCCAGCGCTTCGAAGTTTCTTGTTTTGTATGCTTGAACGCCCAGACCTCTCTCGACCACGTGCTCAGGGCCTTATTTGATCTCGAGATATTTCGTTGACAGTTCTGGAGCTCGAAACCAGCCTCCAGAGGCCAAAGATGGCGACATATTGGCCCGCTTCCATTTTATCGATGCGACGGACGTCTGAGTAGAGGCCCCTTTTCCTCATCCGTCTCATCTTCCCCCTCCTCCTCCTCCTCCTGTTCCTGTTCTCCTCCTCCTACTCATCTTCCAACTCCTCCTTCTCCCCGGACCTGAGATGTCGTGACTGCTGCACAACCTGGGTCCACGGAGGTCTGGACCTCTTCCCTGGGACCATCCTGCATCGTTTTTCTCATCGTCCTGGGTATGGTGAGGGCCTCTGGACGCTGAAACTGATCAAAAACCTTCGGCCGTGATTTCGTGCATGGCGAAACGAAGTTGCTTTCCTGGTAATAGCCACGCTCTCTGGCGGCCGCTCGGGACGGTTCGGGGCACCCCTGGAACGCTCTCGGCGAGGCGCAGATGCCGGACTGCATCCAGAGGCTGGACAACTTTGGGGGAACTTGCGAAAGCGTTAGACAAAACCCCTAACCTCGAACCCGCGGCCACTTCGAACTCCTCCTCGTCCGCTCGCTCGCAGCTTGAGGGCGGAGAGTGGAAGCCCGATCGCGGTACACCCTGCGAAATGCTTAAGAAATCATGGGTTAAGAAATTCATGGTCTCAGAACTGGAATAAAAACCCAAAATTCCCATTCGAATCTTAGGACTTACATTGAAACATTAAGAATAATCGAGACCCTGGCCGAAAATTTAAGTTTTCTTAAACATCGCCTACGGTGTAGGTGGGCGAACAAGAAGCGGCAGATGGGGAGGGAGAGCGGCGGCAGCGGCACGGCGCCGCAGCCAGCACTGCAAGCGAGTGGAATGTTCGTCCTCCTCCTCCACCTCCTCCTCCTCCTGCTCCAACTCCTCCTCCTTCTCCTCCTCCTCCTCCTCCTCCTCCTCCCCCTCCTCCTCCTCCTCCTCCTCCTCCTCCTCCACCTCCTCCTCCTCCCGCTCCAACTCCTCCTCCTGCTTCCCCCTCCCTCCTCGCGAGAGGGGCGTCCAAGGTCCAAGGGGGGGCGTCGAAGAGGAGGGGCTCGCAAATCATGGCCAGCGGCATGTGCGCTGCGAACACAAGGGGGGGAGCCTGAGAGCGCAATGAAACCTGATCGGACGAGAACGGGACGCGCCGCTGTAGTCTAATGGGCGTATTGGGCGAAGAGAAAAGAAGGAAGGCGAGGACAACGAGGAGCCGATGACGAGGACGGCGTGGCGAACGTGAGGATAGCGAGGAGGAGCATGAGGACAACGAGGAGGAAGAGAAGCACAAGGACGAGGACGAAGAGAACGAGGGCGAGTACGAGGAGGAATGCGGAGGGCGATGATGACGACGACGACGACGACAGAGGACAGTACGAGGCAATTGGAGAAAGACGTTGCTCCTGGCGCCGCGCGGGGTTCTCTTGAGGCCTGTTGGGACTTCTTGGGGGCCCCTTGGGTCCTCTTATGGGCTTCTGGGGTCTTCTTGGGCTGTCTGGGCGCGTCGTGGGGTTCTGTGGGAGCTTTCCTAGGCCGTCTCGGCGCTGGGGGCCTCCTGGGGCGCTCCCGGGAGTCTCTTGGGGCCTTCTTGACCCTTCTCGGGCCGTCTTGGGGTTCTTGTGAGCTGTCTGGGTGGCTCCTAGAGCGCTCTTCGGGGTGGGGGTCTCTTGGGGTCTTCTTGGGGCGCTCTTGGGCGCTCCTGGGGCTCTCCGGGGCGTCTTTTGGGCCTCCCTTGGGCCGTTGGAAAGCCCTCCAAGAGCGATTCGAACACGACGTCGATGCGGAGTCCCCTCGTGGGCCGATGTTTGAAGGATGTCTCGAGCGAAACGGCCATTTGTCAAAAATCTGCCAGCGCAGTTTCAAAGTGCAGCGCGTACCCGATTATTAATTGTTACCACCAACAAACGGTCCACGCCAGGGGCGCTTCCCGTCATCCGCCAACCCTGTCGCCGTGTGTGAGGGGCTTGTCTGTTCGAATCGTCGTCTCTGTCAGTCGTCTCCGTCGTCCTTCTCAAGCTTGTCAGCGAGACAAAAATCTAGAAATGTCGGAATCGAATCGAAGGAAAGCCCCTTCCCTTTGATCCCTTCCCCGTCGGGGGGGGGGGTCCCCGGGGGGGAGGGGGGGGGTCAGATACGCATCCCCCCCTGGGGGCCCTGGGGCCTCAGAAAGTACCAAGACAAGCCAAGAGTGCCCCAAGAGGCCGCCGAGACGGTCCAAGAGGGCCTCCAATCGCCATACTATCGGTCCAAAACGCCTTCACGCCCTCCAGACTGCCCAGGAGGCCTCCAGGACACCCCAAGACGCCTGCAAGAGCACTCCCGAGAGGGCCCCAAGAGGCCAAATTCATTGCTTATCCGCGAATTATTTCTTTCACTTGGGCGTTCTCGCCTTTTCCACTTCCCGCCGCTTCAAAACGGCACAAGAAGCCCCCCAAATCGCCCCTTAGGCCTTCGAGAGGGCCCCCAAACAGCCCAAGAGGACCACACGACAACCCAAAACGCCTCCAGGACGGCCCAAGCAGCCCCCAAGACGGCTCCAAGAGCGTGCCCAGACGGAGGACACGAACGGACATTCCGAGCCCTCGGCCCCAAGAGGCTCCCAGGAGGCCCCAACAGGTCCCCAGGATGCCCCAAGAGGTCCACAACAGGTCCCCAGCAAGCCCGAAGGGTCCCCCAAGAGGCTCCCAAGAGGCCCCCAAGAGGCTCCCGAGAGGCACCAAAATTCCTCCCCAGAGGCCCCCGAGAGACTCCCCAAGAGACCCCAAGAACCATCCCTGAGGACTCTGGCCCACGTCAGCGTCGTCGTCGTTGCCGGCACCGCCGCCGTTGTCGTCGTCGTCGTCTCTCTTCAGGGTCGGCGGCACCGGGCGTAAGGCCTTCGCAATAAGACGAAGGGGCAATGAAATCAGGGAGGTATCGTACGATATCCACACCCACACACACCCAGTCATCACCCCCCTCTTGGCCGCCCCCTCCTCCTGCCTCCCCGCCGCGGCGGCGGCGAGGCTGTTCACGGCCAGCCGTGGCCCGCGCTAGGCGCGGGGCAGGGTGCAGTCGTGGAGGAAGTAGCACGCCGCCGGCCGCCTTGAGGCCGCGCGTGCGCGGGCGCGCGGGCTGTCGCCGGGTTGGCTCATCCTGGCAAATTTTGTTCGCACGAGGCGTCTTCGCCCAACCACCACCACTGGCGTCTTCGCGTTGGGCCCCTGGACCATCACAGGTCGATCCGGCTCGAAAGATGCCTCAAGAAGACGATGTCTCAGGCTCGGGTGATGACTGCAGAAGAGAGAGCACTACGTTGTTTCGCGTTGTTTTGTCGTCTTCGGCCTCCGAGAGCTATCGCCAGGCCGCGACAGCGACTCGGGCCAAAAAAAGCTGGTCCCGGGGAAGGGGTCATCCTCGTTGCGAAACAGTCGCGAGACATGACAGCTTTGGGAAATAGCAACAAAAAACAGCGTGGACCCCAAACGCTGTTCTAGCATACCAGGTGATGCAATAGATGTGGTTCAAGCTATAAAGTGGAAGGCATGTGGTTCAATCTACGTGAAGCAAGCTATGCGATGTGGGTAAGCCACGTGGTGCATGCTGCGTGGTGCCGTCTACGTGGTGCAGTTCACCCTGCCGAACTTGAAGTTGTCAATGCCACTGTTCGCGCAGTTATCTCGCCCACCCACCCGCAACTTGGTTTGCAGAACCCATGCGGCGGCGATTGCCGTTACTGCTCGGCGCGGGCTGGCGCATTGCTGCGGCCGCGCTGGTGCGCGCAGGTTCGCAAGCAAAGCGACCAACGCGGCCGCGGTGGACCCGACCGCTGGGCACTTCCCAGCGCGACTCGCGACGTCGGCAAGGGCACACACAATGATGATAAATAGCGATGCTGGTGACGACCACGATGACGACGGCAAGGCCAATGACGACGCCGATGCTGATCACGCCGGTGACGATGATGGTGTTTTCACGTGTCGGTGATTGAGGTTTCGGGAAGATTTCGACGTGCGGGCGCGGGCGACAGGCGCGAGTGGTATTATTTGACAGGCTTTGTACCCCGCCCCCTGGCACGTGCGCGAAAGGCGTTCGAATGATTTCGGCATCCGCGCGCGAAGGGCCCATTTAGACGCTTTTGATGAAATTGTTGTGAGCTGATGGTTGCCTTAAGAATTCCCAAGAGCGCGCGCAGACCTTTTGAAAACAGACATGTTGCCACACCAAAATGTTTGTATGTGTTCGGGGCACTCGGTTTTGAAATCCCTACGAACCCAACGGTTTCGTGTCGAAAATTTTGGCATGCGCGCGCGACGTCGCCCGCGTGCGCATGTCATCAAGCTGTTCGAATTGGGTCTTTGAGAACTGAAACTGACGATGTGTGGCAAGCGAATGTGTGCGCATCGTGTTGTTTTGCAAACGTATGATGTGCGGGGGAGGGTCGAACCCGTTTAGAATGAACGATCGGGCAGAACGGTATGTAAATTGCACATCCCCAGGGGGTATCGATAATCCCGGCCTCGGGAGTGTGGTAGATCCTGGTTCCCTGTTTGAGAAGAGAATCCATGCGTAGCAATGCAATGACGCAAAGCAGTGGGCAGCAAGGCAAAGCCATGCAGCGCCCTGCAAGACGAGACAAAGCAAAGCAATGCGTCGCAACGCCATGCAGAGCGGGCGGCGACGAGGTGGCGGGCGGCGACGAGGTGGCGGGCGGCGACGAGGCGGCGACGGTGGCCACATGGCGGCCAGAGCGGCCCGCAGGCCCAGGCGACGGGCGGCGACGGGCGGCGACGAGGCGGCGACGGCGGCCACATGGCGGCCAGAGCGGCCCGCAGGCCCAGGCGACGGGCGGCCACGGGCGGATCCCCCCCCCTCCCCCTTCTTGCCGCTGCCCTCTTGCGTGTCCAGCGGCAGGGTCCGCACGCGGCCTACGCTTCGATTTCGGCCCACTCCTCACGCGCTTTTGTTCGACGGCGAGCCCGGGGTGGGAAGCGAGAAGGGGCGGGCCCTCTCAGAGGGCTCGGAAGCCCCACGGCCTTCTGAGAAACTTCCCACGCCCTCCCCGAAGACGCAGAACACCTCCCAGAAGGCCAGGGGCCTTCCGAGAAGTCCCGCCGCCTTCTGAGGAGGCCTTCTCCTTCTCACCTCCCCACCGCGCTCGCCGCCGGTTCGTGGCCCCATAGAGAGCTCCATCGGTGGCCCCACTGGCAGGGCCCGCATGCGGTCCCGGGGGCGCGTGTCGGCACACCTCTCACATGTCGAATGGCCCCACGAAGGAGCTCAACCGAAGGTCCCAGCGGGCGCGGGCGCATGCAGTCCGGGCGGGGGGTCCATTTTTGGCACGCTCCTCACACGTTTCGTGGCCCCATGGGAAGCGCAACTAAATGCCCCAGCGGTCGCGAGCGCACACACACACACACACACACACACACACACACACACACACACACGAACAAACAAACACACACACACACACCTCACATGTGTCGTGCCCCGTGGGGAGCTCCACCGAGCAGTTCAAAGCAACGAACAGTGCTGAGCAAAGAAACTGCGATGCAGGGTAGTTCAACAAGATGCGATGCAATGCAAATCAATGCATCGAAATGCGGAACAATTCGCATCAAACCACAGCAAACAATATAATGCACGCACTGCGCATATAAGCACGATCAGTCACCTTCAAAGCAAAGCAGCACAATCGCAAGAACACCGTATCAGCCGACAGCTCGTTCCCTTTGTCGTCAGCTAGCTTTAAGCTTGCTTTGAGCCCCTGTTAATGTTTGGTGCAGTATTGGCCTTGCGTTTCGCTCAAACTACAAATCCTGAATGCGGTCGGGTTAAATTCATGTGCACTCCTTTTCCATAACAGCTTCCCAAACACATGTGTTTGGCACATGCTCTGGGGAAGCCTTCCGAAACATCTTCCCTCCGCCCCACCTCCATATCCAATCATCTTGAGGCCAGGAACAAAAAACTGCCCCTACTTCCGACGCCGGCAGCGACGAAGACGGGTCTCCTCGTGTACCAGCTGTGGTAATACACGTACTTGAGCATCGCCTTCTCGTAAGCCACGCGCGCGGACGGCTCAGCCTGTCAGTTTTGCACACACGTCTCCTCTCACATCCTCCTGCTCCGCTTCAGGTACACAATGCATGCGGATTGAGAAGGGTAGATCGCCGACGCGAACACCGATATCGGCACCGATATCTGCAGATTTGACGCTCGAAGGCGTATGCTCTGCACTACAAGGTGCACCTGCGTAACACTACATGGCTTTGACGAAACACACACAGATGTACTAGCAACGCCCAGGCGCTAGCCGATTGATGCCTCGCAGGCAGCGAAGGGGCGAGCTCGCGAGTAAGGCCAAACTGTGGCAGAGACGTCCCAGGGTGAAACCAAACAAAACGAGCATCCAACGCAGGAGCCTGAAACTGCGCCACCCGCTTCACACTTTGCCACACACTCCTGTCATCTTCACAAACACCCGAACTGCCCCCGAACAGCAGGACCACACGAAAAAGGCACGGAGCGGCAAGAGTGGCGCACAGTGAGACTTCTGCGCGCGAGCTGTGCGACACGAAGTCGGCGGACGAGTGGGAGGGTGATCGGAACTTGTGAGCAGGCGGAGCAGCATAAGTCCGTGCGGGAAAAGCCAGAAACCCAGGTGGCAGAGCACGCGAAAAGCACACGCACTGCCACGGCCAGTGGTTCTTTGTAACGCAGGTGGGTGGTATGATCTATCGTAGGCGGAACGGAAGTGGCCACGAAGGTGGCACGGGTATTGAGAAGCGTGCCTATCAGCCAAGGCGTTCACAAGCGTCGAAACCGCTCCAGCGATTGCAATCGATGGTTGCGCTTCGAAGTGGCAGGACAAATGTTCTCGTTGCCACGGCTATACCCGCCATCCTCTATGTCCCCCAGTCTCTCTCTGTGTCTCTGTCTGTCTGTCTGTCTCTCTCTCTCTCTCTTTCCTCACTCCGCCAGTGATTCCATACCACAGTCGCGATTGATACAAGGACGGGCGGCGTCAAAGTGAACTGCCAACTTGCGTTGAGGACGGCCCTCGAGGCTGAAAACTGCTCCAGGGAGAGTCCCCAACAATGAGCTGTGACGTGCAATTAGACAGGGTGGAGCGGCTAGATTCATATGCGGTAGACTTTGTGTTCTCTCTTCTTCTCCCCCTCTCTCCTTCTCTCTCTCTCTCGTCCACACACACGTCCCGAGGAAGCGGACCGCGTGGAGCTGCGACCACTCGACAACACGCGCACAATACAAGGAGGCGGGGAGGGAGGAGATAGCGGGCTACCCGCCAAGGTGCTTGCAGGGCCCCTCTCTCTCTCCCTCTCTATCTTTCTCCCTCCCTCCCTCCTTCCCTCCCTCCGTCTCTCTCTCTCCCTCTCTCTCTCTCTCCCTTGGCTCATTGCGCAGCGAGTGCCATCGATAGCAGTCTGCGCTCGACGAGTGCGATCGACAGCAGTGCAGCGGCCATCGCGCTGCAAGCGAAGGAGGAGCGGGGACGGGAAGCGACGGCGGCGGCAGGCATGCTGAGGAATGCTGCGCTGACGCGCTGGCGCCGAAGGCGGGCTCGCTGGAGCAGGACCAGCGACGCCCGCGGCCCAAGCGCCGCGCGCGTCCACCGCAGCGTGACTTGCGAGAAGAGTCCCACCGCCGCCCGCATCCTCGGATCTCCGGCGATGTGGCTTTTTCCCGGAGAACCCCGCCTTGAATCAGCAGAACCACCGCGTTCCCCCTCTTCCTCCTCCTCCTCCTCCTGCTCCTCCTCCTCCTCCTCCTCCTCTTCCGCCTCGCTCCTCCTCCTCACTCCTAAATCCTTTTGCTCCTCCTTCCTCTCCACCCCCTCCCACTCCTCCTCCTCCTCCTCCTCCTCCTCCTCCTCCTCCTCCTGCTCCTCGTCATCATCATCAGCATCAGCATCAGCATCAGCATCAGCATCAGCATCAGCATCATCATCATCATCATCATCATCATCATCATCATCATCATCATCATCATCATCATCATCATCATCATCATCACCATCGTCATCATCATCATCATCATCATCAGCAGCATCATCAGCATCCTCACCCTCATCCTCATCAGCATCATTATCGTCATCGTCATCGTCACCACAACCATCATCATCATCATCAGCATCATCAGCGTCATCGTCATCATCATCTGCATCACCATCAGCATAGTCATTTCTATCATCATCACAGTTACCATCACCAACATATTCAACGTCCACATCTACATCACCACCGACAACATAATAGTATTCATTTCCACCTGCATATCCGTCTTCAACTTCTAAATCATCATCACCATCATCAACATCATCAGCATCATCCTCATCCTTACAACCATCATCGAAAGCATCATCACATTCATCATCAGCAGCAGTATCAACATCATCATCATCATCATCATCACCATCGCCATCACCACCACCATCTCCATCACTATCAATATCACTATCACTATCACTGTCACCATCATCATCAGCATCTGCAGCAGCATCAACATCATCACTATCAGCATCAGTATTACCATCAGCGTCATACACATCAACATCAACATCAACATCATCATTGCCATCATCAGTATCATCAACATCAACATCATCAACATCATCAGCATCAACATCATCCTCAGTTTAATCTTCAGTATCACCATCATCGCCGTCATCAGTATCAGCATCAACATCAGCACCAGCATCATCATCATCATCATCATCACCATCAGCATCATCAGCATCATCAGCATCATCATAATCATCATCATCATGATCAGCTTCATCATCACCATCATCATCATCATCATCATCATCACCATCATCATCATCATCATCATCATCATCATCATCATCAATCATCATCATCATCATCATCATCATCATCATCATCATCATCATCATCATCATCATCATCATCATCATCATCATCATCGTCATCGTCATCGTCATCAGCATCGAAATCACCATCATCGAAACCATCGTCAACATCATTAACAGCAACATCGCAATCGTCAGCATCTTGTCACTGATCTCCGCATGCCCATTTCGGCACACCCTCACACGTTTCGTGGCCCTACAGTGACCTCCACCGAAGGCCCCATTGGCTGCGCTCGCATGCGTCCCCTCGCCCATTTCGGCACACCCCTCATGAATTTCGTGGCCCCACTGGGAGCTCCACCAAAGTCCCCACTGGCTGCGCTCGCATGCGTCCCCCCGCCCATTTCGGGACACACATTTCGTGGCCTGCCAAGAACTCCACGGCAACGCTCGCATGAACCCCCCAGTCCAAGCCGGCACACCTCTCACATGTTTCGTGGCCCCACGGGGAGCTCCGCCGAAGGCTTCTGTGGCAGCGCTCGCATGCGCTCCCCAGGCCCATTTCGGGACAACCCTCACGCGTTTCGTGGACAGGGAGCTTCACCGAAGGCTCCCCTGGCAGCGCTCGCATGCGACTCCCCATCAATTGCGGCACACCCCTCAAATTTTTCGTGGCCTCACAAAGAGCTCCACCGTAGGCCTCAACGGCTGCGCTCGCATGCGTCCCCCCGTCCATTTCGGCACGCCCCTTGTACGTTTCGCGGCCCTCATCCGCATGTCCCGTGCCCCATCCTTCTCGCGGCGCGCTACCTACGATGAGGGGGTCATACCCTGCGCGATTCGCAGCTGCATATGGTTGGGTCCCTCGCCAGGCAAATTTTGAATCCGGGTGTTTTCCTCGGTTTCGGCACCTCGGGGGCTGTTGGCGGGCCCCGGGACCATCAAACATTGATCTGAGACGACAAACTGTCCCTGGGGAAGCGGTCGGGACCCCTGGGGCCGCGGATCGAAGCAATCAGACTGGCGGATGCCAGGGTCGTCGCTTCCCGCGCCCACCACGCCGCCGCCTGGGCCCACAGTGGATGCGTTCCCCTCATGGGCTGGCAGGCGCCATCGGCCAGCTGCTGGTCGGTTGCGAAGCCCATGACGAGCGAACAACACACACACACACACCCATACCCCTAGGGGGGACCGAGGGGGCTACGGGCGCGTGTTGTCGGACGGGGCTCCTCGCTCGAACGGAGCCTCCCCCGGGGTCTGACAACCCGCACCCATACCCATAGCCAGTCCTCCTTCCGGACTTCCCTACTGGTATGGGTGTGTGTTGTTCGTTCGTCAGCACAGGTCCACAAGAACGAACATCATACACAGCCAACCCGTATCATAAGGACGCACGAGAAGGACGCAAGAGCCTTGGAAGGCCGCAGCGACATCTTGCGAGCGGGGCGCGGCCAGCGAAAGCGGCCAAGGATGCGCCGAAGGGGAAGGATGCAAGGGCTTCCTTCGAGAAAGAGATCGACTACAGAATTGGTTGAAACCCGAATTGATTTTCTTGTCGAACCCCTGAAAGGAATGCGTGGAGTAGTCAGTTGATCTACGGCGCACTGTAGGCATGCTTCGTGGATTCGATGGGCACTCATGTTTTCCCCCCACTAGGCTTGCCTAAGGGGTTCTAACTTTGCTACAGGCTGGTGCCTCCTGTTGTTGCTTTGCCCGTTGCTCCTGGGTTCCTCGGGTTCCTCGGGTTTCCCAGGCTCCTCGGGTGCCCCGGGTTCTCCTGGTCCCCCGGTTTCCTCGAAGGTTCTTCCGGTTCCACGGAGTCCTCGGGCTCCCAGGGCTCCTTTTCAGGAGCCCGGCGCGACCCTAAGTAGGGGAAAGCTTCCTGTTGCATGGGCGCAGTGCTTGGCATTGCTTGACACTGCTTGGCACTTCTTGGCATTGCTTGGCATTGCTCGGCATTGCTTGGCATTTCTTGGCATTGTTTGGCATTGATTGGCATTGCTTGGCATTGGCACAATCAGAATACGAGGCACCGGGGGCGGGGAACCCGGGAAACCCCAAGTACTAAGGGAACCTGGGGAAACCGGGGAACCCGAAGAACCCAACGTCAATAGGAAGCACCGGGGGGGTGAACCCGAAGAACCCAAGGAACCCGAGGAACAACGTAACCTGGGGAACGCGAGGGACCTCCGGGAAACGGGCAACGTACCAAGAGGAGGCACCAACCTTTAACCAAGTAAGAACCCCTCAGGCAAACCTAATTGGGGAAACAGGGAAACCCATAATTATGGGGTCGCGCCAGGTTCCTGACCCTCGACGTCGCGATTTTTACAACGTCGACCCCCAGAGGTCTAGACCCGGTTTTTATCCTGAATGCTTTTGACGGTCCCAAGGCCTGGTCGAAAAACCTCCCGTCGTGATTTTTCCACAAGGCGAGGGGGTCTGGGTTCATCCAGCAAATCGATTGTGTAGTCGATCCCCGACTCGACTCCCTGGAAGGTCGCTCCGCCTTGCCATGCGGGTTGACTGTCCCCTCCCCGTCGCGCGGCCGCCCTCCTCTCCTCCTCGTTCTCTTGCACGCCAGACGATTTGCCTATCGGTGCCACCGATTTTGAGCATGGGCCGACCGTCCCGGCAGTCCTATAGTCCTACCACGAAAATTTCTTCGAACCTAACAATGTTCTAAGCACAAAAACAATGTTCTCAGAACATAACCCCGATGTGTTGCAACAAGACAGACTCGGCCAGACATGTTCTGAGAACATGTCGTGGAAACCACAAGAGGTCCCTAGAACAGTGTTTGGCAGAGCTATAGGCGAGCCAGGACGCTTCGCCACTGCTTGACGATTAGCGCCCGACGCCGGTGCGGATCGCCTCCGCCCCGCCGCCGACGAACAAAATCCCCTCCCCGTCTCGGCGGCGCGCGCGAGGGGCTGGCGCGGGGGGGGCGGCCTTCCAAGAAGGGGGGGGGGGCTCCAAGAAGGCCAGGAGCTCACGAGAAGCCCTCCCGGCTGCTGGATGCAAGGGTACACGTCGTTCATTTCTAGTCGTGCTCGTTTCTGCCTGTGCTCGTTTCGAACTGTTCCTGGCCCCCTAGTGGCCAGGAGAAAGGCCCAGGACAGAACAATTAGGAATGAAAGGATCTTGGGCCCCCCAAAAATCAAAGAATGTTCGAAGAATTAGAAATGAACAATGGGTACCCTTAGGAAGATTGCCCATTCTTGCTATGCGGGTTGACTGTACAGTCGGACCCAGGCCAGAAGAACGTCCTTCAAGAACATGAGACCCTTCGCCGGCCAAAGCACACAGAACATCCAAGGGTACCCTGCCCAGCATGCACAAGACCATCCAACAAACACAAAGAGTAGCAGGGCACCCTCCCCGAACCGACCTCCGATACCTCGGTCCGACTGTAGATGGGGTCGGAGGATCGCGACGCATCGCCGATGCATCGGCGATACACCGCCGACGTCGGCGACGCATCGGCGCCGTCGGCGTAAAGGAAAGCAGACTCCACACACATCGAATTGCATCGGCATTTCATCGGCGATGCGGCGCGATCCCACGCCCCCATCTGCTCCGACCCCATCTGGGAGGCCTGCATCTACGGAGCCCTCTCGAAAAACCCACCGGCCGCTCCCGAGAAGCCCCCCCCCGGGGCCCTCTTGGAAGCTCCCCCTCCCGCCTTCTCAGAGGGCTGCCCTCCTCGCGCCCCCCCTTGTATAGGAACATGGGAAACCGACACCAACACCACCAGGGGCCTCCAGCGGGAGGAGCCAGGGAGGTGCCCCCCTGGTGTGGTCCCCCCTTTCGCTCGAGACATCCCCTAGCCCCAGCTCGGGGAGGCATCGTGGACCTCCTCGCTGGAGGTGGCCCCCTGGTGGTGTTGGTGTCGCTTTTCCTGCCCTCCCCGTGGACGCGTCGCCGATCTTCCTTCCTTCTCCTCAGGAGGAACACGGACACGCGCTTTCGGCTTTCCAAACAGTAGCCAGTCGCAAAATGGTCTGGATCCACCGCGGGGGATTTACGATCCGTTACACAGAGGAACACTTTCTGCCAACCGTCCTGCGGTGTTGGGTCCGCGTTTTGAAGAGACAGCGCCCCGCGTTATCCTCCTTCTTTCCTTCCTTCCTTCCTTCCTTCCATCCTCCTCCTCCTCCTCCTCACACGCCTCGTAGCCCCATAGGGAGCTCGGCCGAAGGCCCCAGTGCCACCGTCCACATGCGTCCCTCCCACCCACTTCGGCACACCCCTCACACGCTTCAGGGCCTCATAGGGAGCTCCACCGAAGGCCCCAGAGCCACCGTCCACATGCGTCCCCCTTACCCACTTTGGCACACCCCTCACACGTTGCGTGGCCCATAGGCAGCTCGGCCGAAGGCCCCAGTGCCACCGTCCACATGCGTCCCTCCCACCCACTTCGGCACACCCCTCACACGTTTCGTGGCCTCATAGGGAGCTCCACCGAAGGCCCCAGTGGCACCGTCCACATGCGTCCCTCCCACCCACTTCGACACACCCCTCACACGTTGCGTGGCTCCATAGGGAGCTCCACCGAAGGCCCCAGTGCCACCGTCCACATGTGGCCCCCCCCACTCACTTCGGCACATCCCTCGCACGTTCCGTGGCCCCATGGGCAGCTCCACCGAAGGCCCCAGTACCACCGTCCACATGCGTCCCCCCCACCCACTTCGGCACACCCCCTCACACGCTCCGTGGCCCCATGGGGAGTTCCACCGAAGGCCTCAGTGCCACCGTCCACATGCGTCCCCCCGACCCACTTCGGCACACCCCTCACACGTTGCGTGGCTCCATAGGGAGCTCCACTGAAGGCCCCAGTGCCACCGTCCACATGCGTCCCCCCACCCACTTCGGCACACACCTTGCACGCTTCGTGGTCCCATAGGGAGCTGCGCCGAAGGCTCTAGTGCCACCGTCCGCATGCGCCCCCCACCCACTTCGGCACACCCCTCACACGTTTCGTGGCCCCATAGGGAGCTCCGCCGAAGGCCCCAGAGCCACCGTCCACATGCGTCCCCCCCTCCCACTTCGGCACACCCCTCCCACGTTTCGTGGCCCCATAGGGAGCTCCACCGACGGCACCAATGCCACTGTCCACACCCCCCCCCCCACCCACTTCGGCACACCCATCACACGCTGCGTGGCTCCATAGGGAGCTCCACCGAAGGCCCCAGTGCCACCGTCCACATGCGTCCCCCCACTCACTTCGGCCCCATAGGGAGCTCCACCGACGGCCCCAGTGCCATCGTCGACATGCGTCCCCCCCACCCACTTCGGCACACCCCTCCCATGTTTTGTGGCCCCATGGGCAGCTCCACCGAAGATGAGATTCACAACTGCGTTACCCACAACTGCATATGGTTGGGTCCGTCGCCAGGCAAATTTCTAGGACGTTGCGAGTAGGCGCTTTGCGAATACTGGAACGCGCCCGCTGAGAACAAGCTCGCTGGAGAGTTGAGCAGGGACCGACCGCTCAGACATTCCCGAGATGCTCTTAGAATCAAGAGAAGGTCCACCAAGCAAGCATGGTCTTGGAGCATCGAACGCTCTCAACCAACCAAGCTCTAAGAACCGCTCGTGCAAATCACAACGTCTATGTCACTACATTATTTGGTGAGCCGATAGGTCTGTCAGGACGCTCCGCCACTGACTACTTGAGAGAGGGAGAGGGACGCCGTGCACGTCAGAGGTGCAGTTGCAGAACATGATGAGACACGCACCAGCGCCAATGGCGCGGTCGAACAGTGAGACGGCACACACGAACCACAACGACAACGACAGCTACAACGTCGGCGCCTCGGTGCCAGACGCCTGCTCAAGCTTGCTGAAAGTGCTGTAGACGAGGTCGGCGCCGTACTGCGCGGAGGTGGCGAACTGGGCGCCGCAAGGTTTTTCACCATGGGGGGAAGGTGTCACCTCCCAGTTCTCCTCCTCGTTCTTCGCTCATCCTCGTCCTCGCTCTCCTCCTCCTCCTCCTCCTCTTCCTCCTCCTCCTCCGACTCCTCCTTTCCTCCTCCTCTTCCTCCTCCTCCTCCTCCTCCTCCTCCTCACTCCTCCTGCTGCTGCTCCTCCTCCTCCTGCTGCTGCTCCTCCTCCTCTTGCTGCTGCTGCTGCTCCTCCTCCTCCTCCTCGTCCTCCTCTCCTTCCTTCCTCCTCCTCCTCCCTCCTCCTCCTCCATCTCCTCCTCCTCCTCTCCTCCTCCTCCTCCTCACCGCTCCCCATCCTCGCTCCTCCTCCTCCTCCTCCTCCTCCTCCTCTCCTCCTCCTCCTCCTCCTCCGCCTCTCCTCCTCCTCCTCCTCATCCTCCTCCCTCCTCCTCTCCGTCCTCGTCCTCCTCCTCCTCCTCCTCGTCCCTCCTCGTCCTCCTCGTCCTCCTGTCTCCTCGTCCTCCTCGTCCTCCTCCTCCTCCTCCCCCTTCTCCTCCCCCTCGTCTTCCTCGTCTTCGTCTTCCTCGTCCTCCTCGTCCTCGTTCTCGTCCTCTCTCCTCCTCGTCCTCTCGTCCTCCTCCCTCCTCGTCCTCCTCGTCCTCCTCGTCCTTCTCGTCCTCCTCGTCCTCTCTCGTCCTCCACGTCCCCCTCGTCCTCCTCGTCTTCCTCGTCCTCGTGCTCCTCCTCCTCCTCCTCCTCCTCCTCGTCGTCCTTCTCCTCTTCCTCCTCCTCTCCTCCTCCTCCCTCCTCCTCCTCCTCCACCTCCTCCACCTCCTCCT